TTGTGTGTGTGTGTGTGTGTATTACTGTGTGCGTGTGCATAAATGTTTGTACTTAGTTGGTTTATTAGTTTATCACTTTAGATGAACAAACAACGAAAAGAAAAATAAAAAGAATGCAAAAGGAAGTGAGAAAAAGAGATAGAAGAACAAGAAGAGAAAAGAAGATAGAGAGAGAAAGAAAAAAAAGATAGAGATAAAGAAAGAGAGAGAGAGGAAGAGAGAGCAAGGGCAGAATGGAATGGGTATGGGAAATAAAATGTTGAAAGGGAATGCGTTATTAGATTTTCATTGATATTTGTACTATTTGACATGCCGCTGAAATACATTTGCAGAATTAAGTGAAGTATGCATGCATATACGTGTGAGATACCGTATGTGTGGTGAAAAATGAATGAGATATGTGTGTGTCTGTGTGGGATGTACGTGTGAAATAAAAGTGTGTGCGCGTGTGTGTATGTGTGTTCGTATTGTTAATGTAAGTAACCTATATATAAAGTAGAGGTGAGCATGGGAACAGGAATCCTATGGTTCCCATGGGATTCCCGTGGGAATTGGAAAAACTTAATTTTCGGGAGGGAATCGGAATGAGTAAAAAAAGGGAGGGAATTGGTAACGAATTTCAATTGCCGCCCACTTCTAATGTAAAACTCATCCACAAAATTCAATTCGACAATAAAGTTTAATTAATGCATATGCTCTTTATGTATGTATGTATGTAGGATGCTTGGAACTTTTATATCCTATTTTGTATGTTTGAGTTCATTGTATATTCGAACTTGTGTCGTATACAATAATTAAACATGTATGTGAATGCATGCATGTATGTATATACATGAATGTATGTATGTAGTTACGTATGAATATACGTTCGTATGTTTGTATTTTTTCAATTAAAAAAGTATACATTTATTGTCAAAGTGTGCACACGCAGAGCCTAAGTTTCTTAACTGTTATTTGTCAAATTGATCTGCTGAGTTAATGGAGGTAACGAGTGACATTAAACTGTGTGGTATAACAAACAATGTCTGTCTTATGTTGATGTGTGTTTGTTTGTGTGCGTGCCTGTATGTGTGTGTAATATTTTTGTGTGTATATATATATGTAGATATATATATATATATAGATATATATATATATATATATATATATATATATATATATGCATGGATATAGTTTTATTTAACGAATACAGAATACAATATATGTGATGAAAAATAAATCCATGTCACATAGTAGAGAAAATGAATAAGCGAGTAAACGACTGGGAGTGAAAATGAAAAGTAAAATGAAAGTGAGAAAGTGAGTGAATGAGAGAGTGAGTGAATGTGTGAGTGAATGAGAGAGAGAGTGAATGAATGTGTGAGTGAATGCGTGAGTGAATGAGTGAGTGAATGTGTGAATGAATGAGTGAGAGAGTGAGTGAATGTGTGAGTGAATGAGTGAGTGAAAGAGTG